GTTACCTAGACAGTAGGTTGTCAGCTATCTGTCACTGACACTGGATGGCGACAAAGAAGGGCGAACCTGATGCTACTTCAAGTGTTGATATAACAAGCACTAATAACTTCTAAACGCTATCCACAAAGACGTCTATACCATTGTCAACCAGGGAACGTGATGTGGGTAAACACGAGCTTTTATGGACGACACTTTTCAATCTGTAACATGCTGGACACGGATGTCTTGTGGACCCCGACCGGAGTAGACATTGTACGACAGACACATGGTCCGACTGACCAAGACCCGTTAAGTATATAGTTAGGAAGGATGTACATAGCAGCAGGCGTTCGGAGCTAACTTAGTCAAAATCAGATCGGTGGAACGCGCAACCAGACTCAGAGCAGACACATGATTAGCATAACGAATAATCCCATTGACAGACATTGAGAGCACTGCCCGTATCAAATTGGCGCCCATACAGGAACCCCACATGGAAGTCGTCTGACTCCATGACCAATCGGAGCTGAATAACAACTACATCAAAAGGAAACGTGCTACATTTGTGGAACTCTTTTAGAAGAAAAACAGTCTCGATCGAACGGACGTTTATGCGGTTTTTTGCTTTCTGCAGACACTTTTAAAATCTATTGCAGGCATTAGTAGCAAACAGAAAAACTATAAACCGCGGCTGTAGCTGACCTGTAGACAATATAACTTTATTATGAGCTAAGCAACTGGATTATAATGGCTGCGGTAGAAACACATTAAGACTTCATCCACGATACCTATGGGAGTGCCAATCCGTGATGCCATCCCTTAGGTACCATTCAGTTATTCGCGGCTGTTGGGCCAAATGTCGGATCAACATCGAACAGTCCTCACCATCCACAAGTTGGTTTCTTTAATGGACAGTGGCTACCACAAACCATCAGGGACCGGAAGTAATTTTATGTTATTTTACTTCCAGTCGGTGAGGGTTTATTAGGACGTGTTTATAGTCTTGACGAGAAGGACCCAGGCCTCTGTTCTGGAACTGTTGTCACTTTCTGGCCGAACATGTTCAGAGGCAAATATGTCAGAACTGATATCAAATAGGATGGTCTAGATATGTTATCGATAAAGGACCTTTCAGCCATGTATTAGTGACATTTGCCTTCTACTCAAGGAGCTGCGTGATTACGAAGGCAACGCCATTCATGATTAGGGGCATATTTATGGTTCCCGTTTAACATGGAGACCATGGTTGATGTTACAGGGGTTCGTGGTCATTGGGCAGGACTGGAGGAAGACGAACTAATGTGTTCTTGAAGGAGTGAGAATCATATTCACTGGAAGATTCCAGCCGGAGTTATAAATAGGTAATTACTAAAATTGACTTGGCTGTTCTTCATTCAGAGCTAAACAAGAGACTAAGCCCCGGCTTACTAGTAGTCCAAGAAGGTTTAGATCAAAGACGTCCACTCACCTGTTAACCAAAGTGACATGACCTGATAGTGTAGCTATAAACGGTTTATCTAATTATACACAGCCAACTGTTCATTTGGAAACTGGATCTGAGACCAGGGCAATAGTCCATCTTCAAAAACGAATGTGACATTTGCAGTAACATATCAGTATAAATGTCAATACAAAACAGCTCGTACCATTCGATGTTAGCCTAATGCTAGACATGCGTCATTTAACTACAAATAACATGGTTGAAGACTGTGTACTTACCGGGGCTTTACGACGTTTGAGAGTCATCAGAGGACCAGAAGCTGTTCATTGATTATTGGATAGTGAGATTAAGAGAGCTATGAAAAAATGACACAGCGTAAGAGGTGGTGGTCGGAGGTAGTTTTCACCAAAATATATTGTAACTATATTGGCATCAACCAATGAAAAATACATAAATATTCAGGGACTGGTTATTTAATACAACAGGGTAGTGGAAAGTGGGGAGGGGTCAGACAGACCAGGCCAAACCATCGGCTCAACACACCCTACACGAAAATTGTAATGAATTTGTTTATGATATAGTAGGGATCGTACAATCGACTTTGACAGATTATGGATAGGGATCTGTAGCTTGTATTTAATGCCCAGATGACCCGAGCAAGATACCCATTCAGCAATACAAGTATTGAAGTTGGAGCTATCGCTGACGTATTTCACTTCCATGTCATTTGTTTCTATTTCCGTTTGTCGTGACTGGCAGGTAATTCTCCCGTTTTACCCGATTAGGTCATCAAATGAGATTATTTTCCCAACAACTGTTTAGGATCGCATCAATGTGTCATTACGGAGGGACAGGGTGATAACGAGTTCTCAGCTCACTATCATCACCACAAACGATAATGTTAGGCATATTACGTCACCATGACGACATGCTCTCTGTAGTTCCATTAGAAGGGATGCGTGTTGACATCCCCGATTCAATACACATTGAGCAGAGATGAGACTCTGCCTGGATGCACACAGAGCTACGTGTGGCAAATGAAGCAAGCCCTTTTGAGCGGAATCTGCGGAGAGGAAGCTGTCCTTGAATGTACAAGTCTTGGCTATTGTGAATGTCTTGTCACTTCATCTGTTGCAATACTGGCGCAATCTTACGGCGGAAGTGAGTGAAGTGACCCGTTTAGAGCAGGATTCCAGTCATGTCAACATGTGTCCGTCAGATGTACAACTGATGCATTTCTTAGACACTTCTCAAGTTTGTAAAACCCACGAGTGTGGTTTGTCGCTGGCAAATTCAGGAACATAATCAGGGAACTGGGAGACGAACCCAGGATCTTAGGCTTCTGTCACACCTAAGGGACGTAACTATGCAAACTAATCGAGACGATTTAGACGATTGGACTACACATGCAACACGTTCTCGGTGACTACCTAAAACGTTGGCAATTTTGCTTCAGTAAACTTCCCCATTACAATATGTTTTAAGATACATCTGTGAAATGTATCTCCAAAGGTGTTAGATGTTAGTTACTTCTTAGTGCGGTATAACGGGGAAAAGGGACATAGAGACTCCATCTGGTACATAGTACTACATACTCTGACCAATGATAACATAAGGGGAAACCCCATTGACCATATCCAATATACATAAATCGTCACTGGCAGAGAATAATCAGTCTCGATGATCTGCCGGAACAGATTTCATTGAGCATAGATTGTGGCACTAATACTCTTCCATACGTAAAAGAGGAAACAGCGGGGAACATGAAAAGGATCACTGCAAAGTGATCCTTTTCGCGAAAGGGGTACGCAAGTCCTACATCACCAGTGACATTTGCTGTTTCTTAATACTGCTTTCTTCGTCGAATACATGATAACGAAAATGCTGTTTCTAAATACATGATTATGTAGTTTGTAAGTGCCATTGACAATATATCATATAAGATGTTTAACATAAAGAATAGCAACAGACGGACTAATTATATATTTGGGTTAAGGTGAGGTGAGGTCAAATGGGGTTTAACGTCGTACTTAAGAATATTTCGCTCATGTGTATGCGTGTGTATGTGTGGCTGCGTGTACTAGCCCAGACTTAAGCTGGTTTTATAGTGCCAGCTCACTGAGCTACCATGCCGCAGTGAAGCATGAATACCCCACTCACACATTATACTGACTCCGAGCCGACCAGTCCTTGTTTAACCCATTAATGCCAAGCGCTAGGCAGGGAACAACAAGTACCATATTTTAACATCTTTTGGTATGACGCGGCCGGGGATCGAAGCCTCGACCTTCCGCACTCCGGGTGGACGCTCTAACCACTACAGCACGGATGCGGTTTTGGGTTTAGGACAAATAACATATCCGTCACAAGAGAATTGATCTGTACATTTTCACTAAAACCTGCGCTCAGATTTCTTCTATTTCTCTTCGTCCACACAGTGACAGCAGCCAAAACACACACACCAGCTTAATACAACGAAATCATATACTTGGTTGTACAAACAAACCTAGAATTGCAATTAGCCGTTAATGCGTCTGTTCCCCGTATACTGTTCAAGTATGACTTCTTGTCGACATAAATCACCCTGTCCCATGGGACTGAGAAATGGAATAACTCAATATTTGGCATTGATCAATGTTAGCGGAGGGTCTTATCATGAACACAGCTCTCACTGTCCCCGTAACGTCAGTGTAAAGATGTTTTATCATTCCATTCCAGGATCATGTCACCGACATGTTTGACCCTCGCCGCCATGCATGCCCATCAACGTGGTAACTGGAACCCCTCTTCTGCAGCAGTAACACTGACGTACGCTGGAGCTGTCAGAAGTATTATCCTATGTCAACTAGATGGCGTGGACCCGTTCTTGCGGATAAATAAAGTACTCCAGAGACTCCACCATCATTTCAGTCTGTTTAGGTTATTCCCATAACATATATGTGAAAACTCAGATGAACTTTTTGCTGGAATTGCGCTGAGTTTAAGAAACCTATTTAGAGGATACTATGGGGCATTTTCATACTGGAGGTTATATATGTTGATGTCTGTTCACCGATCTAGGCTACCAATGTGAGCCCGAGTTGTTATTTGTATACAAACAGACATGGCCATTGTACACGTCTCGGTGATACGTCCCGATATATAGACGCGATATATGAGAGACAGGACATATCCAGTGACATATCAGAGAGGCATGTTAATTTGACACATCCACAGGACATGCATTTGACCCGTCTACTAGACGGTCCCGTGACACATCTACAGGACATAGTCAGAATGTGTCCATTTGACGCATCGACAGGACACGCATTTAACACCGTGACGTCTATTTGACGGTAACTTGACATATCCACAGGGGATAGCCACTAAATAGCTCTACAGGTTATATCCCCATTTGATACATGTACAACACATACACACTGATACATCGGTGAGACATAACCATTATCACATCTATCTATCAAAGATCTAGTGATATATCAGAAACATATCCACTTGACACCTCACATATTCATCTGACAAACCAACTAGTTCGTTCCAGTATCCTAGAGCACAAGACAGCGCGACAGTGAGACAGTACCTGAGTTTGAGAATGGCCTCCTCTGCTGAGTGAGTGTAGTGTGTTTTCACATGGTCATGCAGATCAGGGTTGATCCGACTCAGGAAGGCTTCAACGGCACTCGACTTGATCAGGGACACTTTCTTGGACAGCAACTAAATAGAAAATATACTTCATTAAGACATGTTTTATTCAAAAGGAAAAATACCAAGTAAGGGTTTTCACAACTTTGGTAGCAGTCATCCAAACAATGTTCATGGTAAGCGTTAAAACAGCAAAGGAAAGCATGGACTAGAGCATTACATTTGACCTAAATATTACATTAACGGACTAACGAAAGTTGCCTGTCATGAGCTGCTCACATCCTATGATACTAATAACGATTTCTGTGGTTAATCCTCAGTCACCATTAAACAAGCCGCGGTGCATACTTTTATTTGCGCGACTTTTTAAATCAATGCATTTGAGATGTGTAAGAAAGGTTTATCTGAGTAAACAGAGAGACAGCAAGAAACATGTTTTCATATTTGTTTTATGTGATCTATCACATGTATTTTATATGATCTATCACATGCATTTTATATGATCTATCACATGTATTTTATATGATCTATCACATGTATTTTATGTGATCTGTCTGGTTTCGATTATTTACATGCCGCCGTCATATAAATAGGAGCTGGAATATTACAGAGTGCGGTGTTAAACAAAACACAACATATTTATCACTTGACTCGTTCACAGACTTCACCGGAACTGAAACTCCTGCCTAACAACTTAAATCAATGTAACACTAAATACAAGCATCACATGTATATCAGCGTACAGCTAATAATAAACGTATGTTACAATGGGCATTCACCTCTAAAGTAGGTGAGTGAGTGAATTAGGTTTTATGCCGTCTTTAGCGCTATTCCTGTTAAGGCAGTGGACACTTATAAAAGAACATGGTGTTGTTGATTCTTGTGGAGACAATTAATCCAGATCTTTATTGAGACGCTAGACTACCTAAACGTCAAGTTTCCCTTAATAGGCACTAGTACAAACCGGTGTTATCTTTGCAACATACCATAAATTCTAGTGGAAAGCGTTGGTCGTGAAGATTTCATGTGTTGCCCATTTCGTTGGTTTAGTCCTTCGGTGTATCTCAGTGATCGTTATCCCTTGTGTAGTATCTGAGCGAACATTACATTTGACCCGAATATGTGTATGCCAGGACATTTATTCAAATTAAGTGGAGTAAGGTAGCTATAGGGGTCTATTGGTGTGCCGCATGAACGTATGTCCACTTCTGTGAATGTCGTAATAAGGCTGGCTTATGGTCTGAGAAGTGAGAACAGGGGGTGTTCTACCCTTTAGTTGTCATTATCAACTGGTCGTTGGTTCGAATAAAAGATAGGTCCAGATCCTTGGTTTGTAAGCGCCATGCCTGTATTTGTTGGTTTATCAAAAATGCTAAACACCCAAGACCTGTGTCACTAGGGGTTGTTCTTCTGTACTCTATGTAAATGGAGTTCTGCTCAGAATGACGTGATACTAAATATTATAAAAATATACGAAATCTCTTGAAGATTCCAATATGAGTATGTGTTTATTAATCCCTATCAATTAATAATTATATCTGGAGTTCCCGAAAAGGTGAACGTCTTCAGTCCCAACGTTATCCTGCCCCTGTCACAAACACATGTCTAGCCAAGTCAATGTATAGAAAACGCTATAGCCTGTTACCCCAAAAATTATGATACAGCCCACACTGAGTGAACCCAACTCGCCCATTCATATTATTCACGCGATGGTATTTTTGCTTTAATTTACATACGTAATGCCAAGTGGTGTTTGAAATATGTAAAATCGGATGCAATAACCATACATTGATGGTCCCCAGAGACAGTCTAATCCCCACGTGACATTTTATTGACACTTAAATCATGCTTATCAGAAGTCTAAATTGTTGATACAATCTCTGACGAACATATTTCAGTTCAGCTGGAGTAATTACTAATGGACATTTCTAGCTTAGCTCTAATGTGATCGCTTAGAGTCTTCAAGCTTCCCTTCATATCACTGGCGCTATAAACATCAACCACAATCAAACATGGCATCACAAACTATTGACACTGACTGGGTATTTAGGATCAAAGACCAGCCATTCATCACTGCTGAAGTGTTATGCATTGGATAGGTCTATATGCCCGATTCTCATTCCACATATCGACTTCTGACTCAGTAGTTGGACCTCTTCTCTGTTCTTTTCTGTACCTTTCACCCCGCCAATCCAGTGAACTCTACCATACATACATCGTGTACCCTTCCTGCACTACGCTCTTTCAAACACTCCCAGTAGTCTTCTGCCAATCCCCTTTACATCTTTCCCCACACGATTCAATGAAGACCCCTTCTATCATTCACTTCCTTGTATCCCCTGTGCTAACCTAGACTCGCTATCATAGCTATCGTTATTTTACCGTCCCCTAGACTTGATAAGCCTTTATTACAATAGTTTCCAAACCCTGCCATACACCCGTCTCCGCGAATCTTCTTTTCGTTTCCTCTAGACTCCTGGACTCTTCCACAAAGATCCCTTCCAGCTTGCTTACCCTTAATTACATACCCACGCCATGCTAACCCTTGCCATTCCTTGAGCATACAAGTTGCCGTCTTCTTCATAGGCGGATCCAGAAATTTTCAAATCTCCTGAACCCCACCTTGGCACCGCCATTGCAAAACATTAACTTCAATCTGGTCTTTAGTCATGTTTTCAAAGGGGGGTCGACCCCCCACCTGACCCACCCCTCTCTGGATCCGCCACTGGTCTTTGAAACCTGCTTCCCTTGCATACTCCAGTACCGCGCCCATCCTCATCTCCGCTAATACCTCCTGCCACCCACGCATCCCCAACTGCCCAATACCTAGCAAAACAGCTTCCGATGTGCTCCTCCCTTTCCTGCATGCCTCTTGCCAAGGCCGGAATTCCCTGTAGTCATCTCTGCTGCCCCATCTGATTAGTCCTCCTTCTGAACTCAGGTTTAGATGAGTTTAAGCCACAACTCTGGCTTTTGTAACTCAGACCCTGTGCTTGACAACTATTTACATAAGGGAACGGAGATTCATTCGATCTCCCATTGTAAAAAGAGTATCCCAAGTGCTTTAGAGTTATGTAAAAAACAAATAGCTCGAGCTGCTTGAGTTGCATCTCGGAATCTGGCAAATATTTGTACCGTATTAGCTATGGTAAATATGACGTTGGTTTATCAAATATTTCGTCTTCGCATTCAATTGAGTAAAGAGTTGAGATATTCGTTGACTTAATCCTCCATAAACCCAAAGGTATTGATTGAGTTTGTTAATATTATTTGGGCCCTATCGACTCACGTCCACAACCGCAGACTGGTAATAAGCAGCCTTGTAGAGGTGACTACACTCGGTGAAATGGTAGCCTTGCCGTCCGACACTTCGAAGACATAAGTACAATATGGGAAGGATTACTGTACGAAAAAGAGAATATGCCAACTCTGTGATTACCATAGCGTTGAAGACGAATACCATTTCTGTCTTATGTGGCCAGCTTATGATACTTTAAGACCTTTACATCTACCAAAACACTGTCTTGCAAATGTTAACATCTCTGTTTAGTATAAATTATTCTCCTGTACAAATAATACTATTTTTTATAACTTTGCACAATATGTAAAAGTTGCACTTCTTAAAAACAAACAATCATTAATGTTTAATCTCGCCCAAAAATGTCTATAGTTGTGTACATGGGCCGATGGCCTTTATACTGGAATAAACAATTGAATTGAATATGTGAAGCAAGTTCTCACCCACTCTTATGTGATTTGAATATTGCGAAAGAGCAGGAAGACCATTCGACCTGGCTCCACTAACATATGCGATGTCTGTAGCTTGGAGACAACGTTTCATCAAAACCTTTCGAGCAGTAGCAAGTTTTATTCAACTGCAAGGTTCAATGTTGATTTTGCAATGCGATCCTCCTTTCTCAATTGGCCCAGGCGCGGGAGATGAAGCAGCTAGACACTCCTACCCAGAGTGAGATCCTAAGAATTGTACAAGGACCAGACATGATCCAGCTGGGACCTCTTCACACGCACGGTATCGAACAGAGAGACTTTGAAAAGTATGCACCTGTCTAGCCGACATCTTGTAAACGGAGCCGTGTTTATTCTAGGATTGTTACTCATATGCACACTACGTCCCGAAGTGTGAAAGACATGAAACAGAATCGTCTTAAGCTTTCATGGAAAGCGTGAACGTTTCTGTAAAGGTCTAGGTCAATAATTTCCGAATTCCCAAGTGAAGGCAAGGGTTTATTTTCCAGCAGGGCAATAAAAATACCCGAGTTCGTACACTGAATGGCAGTACCACAGTAAATACATTCACTGGTACAGTGTTTCGGGACCAATCAAGACAGCGCATTGTGTAGCCCATTGAGACAGAATTAGTAGTTAATGCTTATGGCAGCGAGGGACCGTTTATCTCTGGAAGATGGCGGTAAGACTAGGTTCTGGCGCACGGAACTGACCAATTCGACATCAGTACGTACATGTAATTTAAGCAGAGGCAACACTGGAGTTAATAGCTGCCATTTCAACTAATCTTTCCTCACACACAAATTCGTGATTTCCAGCAGTGGTGGTTAAATACTTGTCAATATCTAATCTGACTGAATCTATTGCCCACCTATGACCCGTGTCTCATCTCCGCATTCAAGAAGTTTATATCTCTTCAAGAATATTGCCTAGCCGAAGGCTTCGTCTTACTAGAATAATGTACGCGTCAATTATGGCGCATTTATTTCAGTTTGTGGTATAGAATCGCATTATCGTCCCAGATTATAGACAACATTTAAAGACTATCGTTTTTGATTAAATAAGGGTATTAGTCGATGTTTGTTCTTGGTATAGTACGGATATTATGTGTCAGTATTTAGTCAGCTGAGAGGAATGTGGGCTTAATATCTAGTCATTTCATGCACTGCTGAATTCGAGGGCCCGTAAAGACTCTGGAGTAGAGTGAGTGAGTGAGTATGGTTTTACGCCGCTTTTAGCAATATTCCAGCAATATCACGGCAGGGGACACCATAAATGGGCTTCACATATTGTACCCATGTGGGGAATGTAACCCGAGTCTTCAGCTAGTCTATTCCACCGCCCTTCTCCGGAGTAGAACCAGGGTCCAGTCAGCTAGAATGAACTCCTGAATGACCCTGAATCGGATAGCCGACTCGTGACCTTAGTGGACAGTATGTCATCGTACTCCGACAGCGTGGAACAGACTGTGTTTTGTGCTCTAGCTTATACTGTTTGTTGCGACGTAACACAGTAGTGGAATCGAACCCGGGTCTTAACGGTGAGGAACGAACACTTTAACCACTTGTCTACGCCACCGTCCCCGTGAAGCAATAAATACACTTGATGGAATAGAGGGCCTATTGTTGTAAATCCACATTAAACGGTTGTTAACATGACATGAATATATCTGTAGTGAAGGGTGATATAACATGTGTGAATACACGATACCTTTTAAAAGTAGTGAAGTGTAACGTGTCATATTTGGGAATACACTTTCACAGAAGTATAACTTTCTAAAAGGCATTTTGCAATCACAAATTACGAGCCATGCCAATGTACACTCGTCAGAGGGGAGCTGAAAGTACGTGTACACTACTGGTTGTCAATTTCCGTTTTTGTGGCAGCCGCAGTGACTGAGTTGGATAGATCGTTGAGTGAGTGAGTGATTGAGTTAAAATTTTACATTGCATCGGCAATATTACAGCAATATAGGATAGATCGTTGAGTTTGCGGGCTGTCGAGTAGCTGTCTGACTCTGAGGGCGTGGGTTCAAATCCCGGATGAGACTCAAACCCCAAAAGTACTTCAAACTGTAGGTTACTGAGACAGTGTAATCCAGTTTATGTCATATCATATGTGATTTACAATTTGTAGTTGTACTTGCATGGACAATTTGTTTGAACTTATTATAAACACATGTAAATAATAATCTAACTCAGTCTTATATATGTTGTTACGATTACTCACCTTTGAGTCAAATATACTCCTGATCATGACAACAGCGGACTGCCCAGCCAGATATGCGGCCAGATTAGCAGTGTAACTGGTCATTATGAAGATAGCCAGGCCTGCCCACACATTCTGTATCACCTTCCCTGGCCAGCTCTTGGGCGCCTTGACGTTGATGGTGTGCCCCGTCACGAGCACCCACACCATCAACAGCCCCGACCCCAAGGTGTAGTTCTTGTCCCTTCTCCTGCCCCTGGGGTTGAGACCAAAGGGGCTAAACCACTCTAACGTTGAAGTAGCTATCCCTGCTACAACAGAACTCACAAGTATACAGATCCATACCTCCGGTGAAAAGGGGCTAAGGAATGCCCATATGGATGTCGACCTACCACTAGCACTCGTCACCATGGCGAAGTCATTCTGGAAGTAGGGTTCTGTGAAGGACATGACAGAAAGACGCTCTGATGTTACACTGAAAGCTCCGACCACGAGGTCGGCGGCGCCATTTACTATATCAGAAACCATGCCCGACCACTGACCATTCTTATACGTTCCATAATCGGTGTCATTCAGAAAATAGATCACGTAATCAAAATTGAGATCCACTGCCAGCTTGTCCAGTAAATCCAAAGCCAGGCCTTTGCAGCAATGAACACGGTAATTAGTCCTATTGTATCCCTTGGTGGTTAAGAAGGTCTCTATCACAGAAGCTATTGCACTAGGGGAATTATCAAATATTTCAATACAAGGCTGATCCGCAAAACACTCTGATGGATGCTCAACTGGACCTTCAATGAACACAAAAGGTTTCGCAGGTCGGGTGACCACCCTGTAAGTTTTGTCCGTATGGGAAGCCGGACCATAGATAGTTCTTCCTGGCCAAAGAACCGTCTTGAGATTTGTGACGCCAGTGGCAGTTATGTAGCCTACGTTGTTCCAGACCATCTCTGTTCTTGGGTTCTCCCGTAGGTTGTAAAGGTGGAAGGCGACGTCGTCGCGACTGGGAACGTCAGATGGCGACCTCACTTGAGAGCTGCTAGCATTTTCACAGTTGTAAGATGACGCCAGATTCCTTCAAACAGAGAACAAATATGAAGCCGACTTACTTTACATAGTAAGAGGGAGGGACTTCTGAGGTTTGGAGAGAATAAAAGGATAAAAAGACGACATAATTGCGGCCGTATCTATGTTATGTGGAACAAGGCATTCCTTTGCAGGACAAGGTAAGATAGTAGCAGCCTACCTTTCCTTTTGTACTACAGATGATCTCCAATACAAGCCTGTATATGGCTTCAGTCGGCGTTAAAGTGAGTGTGTGAGTGAGTGAGTTTAGTTTTACTCCGCACTCAGTAATATTCCAGCTATATGGCGGCGGTCTGTAAATAATCGAGTCTGGTCCAGACAATCTAGTGATCAACAGCATGAGCATCGATCTACGCAATTTGGAACCGATGACATTTGTCAACCAAGTCAGCGAGCCTGACCACCCAACGATCCCGTTAGTCGCCTCTTACGACAAGCATGGGTTACTGAAGATCAATATTCTGACCCGGATCTTCACGGGACTCGGCGTTAAAGGAATGCTTAAATTACATGTAACAAGTTAGTGCTCATCTCATATGTATATATCACATCATATCATATTATATTATATCATACTATATCATTATAATAATAATAAAACTTACGTTTCTGAATAAAGTCCATATTAGTGTTACACATTTAGCTAGTTAATAGATTGTATGAGTTTTTAATATCAACACTAATCATAAACTGAATATTGTGTTTAGTCAGGCGTTTTTACGCATGCCATCCATCAAATTAACATCTTCATATTCTTGTAGTCTGCATTATTTGCTTTCATACCTTCAATTTTGACATTCTACCAGCTGACGGAAACTTAAACCATTCCCTTGATGCCTTCAGTTTTGATATTCTACCAACAGACGGAAGCTTAAACCATTCTATTGATACCTTCAATTTTGATATTCTACCAATTCTAACATTGTACCAATTGAAGGAGGTGTAAACATTCTATTGTTTCAAATGTTTAGTTTAGACATGCCTTTAAATATATAGAACAAATTCACTTGAGTACTAAAGAGGAAGTGTCTGAGTTTAAACTATCCGATGATATAATGTTATGTTCAGTCCGTCGTTGTTAAACACTATAGCTGCCTCTGCTGACGTCCCAGCTACTATATAATAGCACCGTTAAGTAAATATTAACCTACGATGACGTCACCAGAGGTGAATATCTGAAATTGCCCGCGGACGAGCCACCGCTTTGTCCTCGTCTGGATGTTGAATTAAGTTCTTGGCTTTTAAGAAAGTCGAGTTTCTTTCATACTTGCCTTTTAAGCACACTTCAAAGAGATCAAATGTGTTTTAAAAAGCCACCAACAAAAACGTTCTTGTAGTTGGTTAAAAAAAGTTTATTCTTGTTTTTTAGTTTGATTCAATCTTCTTCGAGTTCGTGGATCAGATAGTGTCGGAAGAACCTACAAAGACGCTTGTATCATGCCATCTGCGTTTTATACTGTACCCTGAAACAGATAGACTAGCATCAGTATAATCCAACACAAACAACGTGGTATATGTATATTTGAGTGTAAGATTAGTCCATATTCAATTACACTTATGAAATGACATTAAAATGAACATGACATTAACATAAAGACTTTAACATTCAACACTACTGCAGTCGTTTGAGAGTACGAAGCAAATGCTCGAAGGGTTCTCAAAAGAGTCCCACATCACTTTCGGGACTTCCTCCAACATTAAGCTAGCACGCTGTGATATAACTGTTACATCTCAAAGGGGATTAAACCCAACGCACTCACTCACTCCATTATAGCACTTACCTTCATATTCAACATGACCAAATGTGATGACCGGTGGTTTAATGGACGAATCTGTATCCGTCATGGTTTAACGTTACCTAACAGAATCTAGTCATCTGCGTAAACAACATAATCCATATTAATGTGTAAATCCAAACTGCATGAAATCACATCAGAATAATAGCTCCCTTTTACGTAAGAATCCAGTGAGACGTGATGGAGACTGTTTGCACATCGGTATCAGTTTCCACAGGTGTATGCGTCAACGTGCATCACCCTCGGGATGATATAATAGATTTTTGTGAAACGTATAATTAGAGTTAGCTGACATTCTTGTGATGGTAACGTAAGTTTATTATGTGAAATAATGATTAGCAGAGTCAGTTGTGGGTATCCGTAGAGTGAATTTGTTGAAAAATCGATGGCGTGCGTGTGATCATTGAATTAAATTGCATCATCTATAACGAGTTTCAGTGCATCAACAAAACCCTGCACTGACCAAAAGGAGGCAAGAACTACATTCAGGTTAGAGATAACGGCAGCTTACACTTCAGATGGCTTTGGGGTAGTGCTGGAATTCTCAAAATATGTTAAACAAATAACTTTATAGTTTTTGTTAAATCTTAGGATGTTTTGAAATAATTTGTGATAAAAAGCCACTCGGGTCCACCTCTTACCGAAAATGATTAAGTAGAGTGTGTAATTAAGAAGTAGAGGATATAATTAAAATGCAACTTGCAAACAATTTCTCGGATTGATATGAGGAAATTATCTTATTGCGGTTGAAATAAATCCCGTGACCCCGAGACTGCGGAACCTTGTAGGAAGACCCACAGGGTCACAATGTCGGTGCAACATTTGATATTATAGTTGCTTCTTACACATATTATTGGACATATTAGGGACTAAGAGCTATAGCTCTCACCTCATTAGGAGTTGATTTGTGGCGAGCTGAGGTTCTAGAGCTGGACAGGAATCGGAACTATTCACAAGAGGGATTGCATCCATAAATGAGCGCAGCTCACTGAGCTGACAAAGGCACGCATGGGCAATAGTCTTTAGAGCGCTGAGGAGGACACCCGAGATCCCAGTCAGGCTGTAACTCTGGAAAGACAGAAGTCCCTCTGGGAGGGAGGATAAGATTTCCGGACTATCCGTGTAGGCTTTTTCAGTCATGAACCACGCATGTCCAGTGCCAAAAACGGTACTTTATGGCGCCATGAACGACAGTCTGCATAAGTTTCGGGGTGCAGTGTAGCACGATGATCTTCCATCCTGTGATAGATAGTTCCGTGAGCATTCTCTCGAGAATACCATCGGTGATGCTGTCCCATATCACCTCGTATTTGAAGGAACCAATGTCTGTACCCTTTCCAGCAGATTCAAACCCTGTCAGGAATCCATCATTGAGAAACAAGTCCTGAATTAGCACTACCGTCTGTGGCATGTTGTACTCGCCGATCACGTGGGCCATGGCGGCGCCCTCGGTAGACATCCGGGCATTGAGAGACACGTAAACATCGGAGTATGCAACCTGCAACAAACACACAAAATTGAGTTTAATTATCATTGGTTATGACAAGATATCTTTAAAAAATAACATATCTTGATAAAGTTTGAATAACTGGATGACAGCTATGTTTAAGTGACATTTTGCGATAGAGTTCGCTCATATTGGTTGGAGGTCTGCGAATGAGTAAATACGCTATTCAACCACAGTATCTGGCGTTAATTACAGTAGCATACACATATCCAGTATACCAGCAGTTGATGGTGGCCTCATCCAGTGAGAAGCTCATCAGACGACGCCTTAAATTACCGTTTTGTTTTTGTAACATGTAATCTGAATTGACTAGTAATCTTTAACATCAAGTAATCAAGGAGTTCCAACAAAAAGAAAGTACGAATCGATGAAAGGTATCAAAGCAAGAAACATCTTGAGACATTGTGGGCAAACAATCTTTTCGTATTTTATCCTAGCTTCAATTCTACAAGAAACACCTTCTGACAGGATGTGCACCTAGACTGTTCGAAAGTTCTAAAAACGACAATATTGAGACATGTAGCAGCACAAGATACGATTGCGACACATGTGCTCTGATCTGACACTTGGCACAACAAAACCATGTCAACTCGAACGTCATCAGTTGATTTCTTCCACACGTTCGCTGATTTAACAGAAACAGAATAGACAGTTCCTTGGCAGTGTCACAGTGTAGGCGAAAACTACAAAAACGTCATCGAACTTTTTTCAGTCAACCTCTCGAAAGTGACTGACATACAAGTGTCGCATATGACCTTTAACAATGACCCGGATGATTTTTTGTCTAACATGATTGCCACAAAATGTTGGTGTGATGCCTACAATTTCACTTAAGTCGAAGACATTTTTGGTCTAAAGTAGAAGATGAATAAAAATTCAACATTCAAAATTTCTTTCCACTTGTCATTATGTGTAGAAGGATGGTAATTTGGTTTTCTGTCTCTCTGAAAGTACACTAACACTTATAACACTTAACCAAATCGGGAATTTCATGGACCCCATTATTAATGCTTGTGATAGATGGCAATTACTAACACTTCACCACGAATGGTCATATCATTCTTCAGCTGCCAAGGACTATATAGTTACCATAAGATTTAAAGCGGCTGGGAGACTCTGCCCAAACCAGATAAATGATGTAATGTCTCCTTGCAGTGGCTACAGGGAGTATTCAAATTCATCAATCTGGGTTTTTATTGAACCTTTGTACTCGATTCGTGTTCCTCCCATCAGATGAAAGAGAGACAGAGCAGTGTCACGGGATGAGGAATATGATATCCTCTCTGTTCAGTTAGGACCAACATATTATGGGCTAATTTCAATGTATAAGCAAATCTCATTCCTTCTTCGGTTCACCAGTGATAGAAGTACTCAGTAGAAAGGTGAATATCAGTAATGTAGTCATTAGAATGTATGGTGGCTTTCAATGAATACCGAAATGGTCACATCAGCATCTGAAACTGTTTTTTTCTGCACTAAATCGGATATGTCCGCCCGCAGAATAGAAAGGAGTGAATGAAAACATGAAAAGCTGGATTGAAGCAAGCGGCTTCTGCCCAAAGACTCTGAGGACTACTACTTTATTACCCCGCCTTATGGCTTGCTCACTACCCGAGGCACGGAGCTGTTAAAAGATGCAGATGAAACGTCAAACTTGATGCCGTGTGGAGATCCGTGGATGTCAGCTTCATCTCACAATGCTTCCTGAACCTAAATAGAGGAAATATCTGCCTGATTACCTCCCCTGACGCCAGAGGGCGCCATATTTAACTCCGGAAGCCAAGTGAACATTTCCTATTTTGTGATGTGAAACAGATAAACAATTACATCAAACTCTCCTTTTAAATCATTACTGAAAAAATGCAGGAGTATTGCAATTTAACGAGAGATTGTCAAGCAGAGTGGAAGCAGTCTGTAAAGGAGATCCACCTCTTACGAGATCAATGAGGCACCACCACTGATACCGGAAATATGTTTTTAGCGCACGCGCAGTTGATGTCTACGTCAAACAGTTCAAGGGCTTTTAAGAAAGTTTTTATGCAACAGTTCAGGACATTCCTCGTTTCTGCTTGGTTAGCATTGTAAGTCTTGTCGCATCAAAACCATTGCGTTTTTCACCACAGTCAAGAAAGGAATCACGAATGCTCAAACAAGGCATGCGGTGAGCGTTTTCAGACTTCGTAAACGACACATGTGTTTTGGGAGTAGGTTTTGCAATTGAAAAATATAATTACGATTTCTCGATGCAGAAAAAATGTGTTGTATGTCTGGGAGACATTGATCCCATTGATCCACAACCACAGAAAGGCTTAGAGGTCCACAACCTCACAAGATATCAATATTACTACAACAAAGTTAATTACTTCTTTTTCGAATTCCGTTTCATCAAAACTGGGCATATGGGAAAGAGTTTTTTTCGATGCCGTTGGAATGGCATTGTCTTCTATCACGATCTTACGATCCGTCGCTCTTTGGCACTTTCGAAACAAAAGATTGATCGGTTCGTTGAAAAAAAAGGAACACGAAGTAATTTTAGTCACGTTTTTTACCGTTGTAATCTTTAGCTCTGGACATGTACCTCTGTATTCATCAAGTCTAGTCAGAGATATAAAACGCCAGGGCGAAAAGAATGTTCAGCCTTGGCTATCCTCTTAGATAGATTTCTTGTAAAGGGTAAAACTGTTTGAAAGGACGAATGGGTTACTGACAGTCACTGGTGACACACGGACAGTGTCAGACGTATTTGCTACCAATCATCTGAATAGCAATGGCTATTTTCCCACTTATTTCCAACTTTAAAAATTATTGTCATAAATCTGAAAAATATTATGTCAGTCTCGTACAACAAAATCTGTCCAGTAGCAGAATGCGGAGAAAAACACCAAAAATGAAGTTTTTCAAAATATTCATCAAACGTATTATGTAATAATGCGGTTCCATTTCACCGAGCAGAACATAACGTTATTCGAAAAGTGGGGGTTACGAAACATTAGTTTAAATCTTGTTCAAACGATTGATGGATGCAACATGTGCTATGTCTGGGATTACACTGTCTCAGTTAAGTACAGAGTCTAGTACTTTTAGGGGGGTTGAGTCTCATTTGGGATTCGAACCCAAACTTTCAGAGTGAAGATGATACTGTTCTTTCTGAACTTGCAAGACAAGCACTTCTTGCACAGTAAACTACACTCGAATATCGTTTACTGTAAATTACGTTTATAACGAAATGACGGATATAACGAATCCTAATCCCGGTCACTTGCCTTATATTTCAGTCGAAAAACGTCTTGTAATGAACTACTGTATTTAACGGACTAAATTAGCCGTTGGTTACTGTATTTGTTTGATAAGAAATTTACCATTGCGAGCTAGTGTATGACTACGTAACATTAACTAATTGTTGACGTTGTGATGCCATTTGCAGAGTATTATTAACTATAGATATTGCATACATTATTACAATCGCGTAGGTATCCTTGTGATCTTTTGTCATATCTAAATTCATGTGAAGGCTTTATTCTCACTCGTTGAATATATTATTTTTAACCCTTTCCGTAAAATTAATACGACTCTCAACCTCAGAATAATCAGCCTCCGTGAATGGTAGTTACTATATGATAATGAAACCTAAGGATTAAACAAAATGCGCCATAACGTCACATACTATCAATTCATCAACCTCATCACGCCATGAGCATACACAAGTGTGTGGAAACGGCGCCATACAAGTGGACATTATTAATATTATTATTATTATTATTATTATTATTATGTTTTACAGATTAAAGATAGTATGCAGCAGAGAGGGTTCGGGTGATCCTGGCACAGTCAAGCTGGTAAGGCTCATCCTCAGCTCAGGGCCCTTGCCCCCTCTACACGCAGCCCAGACAGCGAATGGGACTTCTCCCAGGAAACGCTGCCTAGTCGAACCCACCAAGAACTTTCCGGAGAACATGAAGGCTCCCCAACACTGCAGCCTTCTGCATTACCCAGAGTATCAGAAGGGCTATACTCCCGGTGGAGAACCCGGGCACTCTCCTGATCTGCGCCAAGAGATCAGGAGGTACCAAACCAAGGGCACCGAGAACTATGGGGAGCCTGGCGACAGTGTACTTGGGATGCAAGCGAGACATTTCAAAGGCGAGGTCCGCATATTTATCATGCTTTTCATTAATCTTGCCAATCACATTGGTGTCAAAAGGGACAGAAAATTCAATGATATAAATAAATTCATTGACTTTATCAAAAAGGACAAGATCAGGTTTGTTGGCAGGAATTCTTCTGAGGCTGTATATGGGCCTATTCCACAGAAGTTTGAAAGTATCATTTTCCATGACGCCCTGGACATGTTCAGGGTCGTACCATGGATGGACCTCGGAGTCAAAGCTACAGGCATGTCGGAGACGGTAGTAAAAGCAACGAACCATATTATTATTATTATTATTATTATCACCTTTAAAAGGCGACAGACCATGTACAGATGTAGCTGGTATATTGATTCAGTGGTCAGTGGACCTCGTGGTTCTGTTGTCCAGCAAGGTTGGTGTCGTCAAGCAATGAGAACCATCTGATGGTCTAAACTGCTGAGTAAACACATTTCCTTGATGGATCACATTGATGTTGGTTCCACTGTCGCTCGACATGACAAGTAACAATGACAGATTAGCACATTAAACATTTGGCGTCACGAGTACCTCTGTGTGAGCATTAATAAGCGATGTGTTAATTTGTGTCATGTCTTTAGACATGATGACACTCAGTCTAGCCGATATTCACAAACGTTACTGGTACCAATGTACTAGCAAACTAAACATTCTCGCCCATGGACCACTGTTAGCCCATTGGCAATTGTTCGCCGAGTTTAAATTTCAAATTTTCGAAGAAAATGTTTTTCATTTTTTCATCCTTAGCATATATTCATGACAACTGCATGTTTCATTTTGTCAAATCCCTTGTCAGAAAGTGGGCACAGAGCGGAGGGTTTCTGAACT